AAAAAAACATGAATTACTTGTAGGCAAGCAAACATAAAAGTTAATTTAACATCAACGCATACCTCTCCAACCAATAAGACCTCTATCCGGTAGGCTAACCTCATTGTCACGTTTCTCTGTATAAACGACATCGGAACATGAAAAACAAATGTAATATAAGAACACGTTAATCATTTGTGAAATGTATTATACCAGCACAACATATATACAGCATATGAACAACATCATATACACAGAACTGGTAGCAAAAGAAATAAAAAACAAATAAGTATTTATAACCGATAGTCAAACACAAAATTCATAGTGTCTCTGCAAAAGTCCACATAAAGAATACAAGTGCCAATACAATTGCACATATACATTATCACAGAATTAAGATGCAAGAAAAAAGGAAATACTATATAAATAACTGAAATCTAATATCACTGAAATCTTGTGCCCATTAAATTGAAAATATATAAAACCTAAATAAACTATTTAACACTAAAAAACTAAACAATATCACAGTAAATGCTTATGAATAATCAAGAAGTACACAATTTCTTACCTAATCTCTTTGATTTGGGAGAGTTACCCATTGTGGTTTTTATTTTGAACCAAGCCGAATTGAATCGAAGAATGTATCAAATTTCTTGACCGAGAACTCGGATATCTGAAAATCGAAACAAAAAATTAACGGATACTCCGAATCATCTAACACATTGCTCACGAGAGAACGAAATCAATTTTTTTTTTTCTTACCGCATCTACACCATTGCCCAACGTATACTCCTCAGCTCAATGGGGAGTCGCGCCTTCAATGCACACAATGAACGTGTCTGTAAGTTATGAGCATTTAACCCTACCTGTATGTAAAATCTCGAATGTGCCCTTTTTCTATTATTAGTTGTCCATACAGTTCATCAGAATCACTGAAATGGCACCGCGAATATTCAATTATTTGCACAGATCTTGGTCGATGAAACAGGTCATCAAACGGTCCAATTAATTCTCATTTCTCTCGATGATCCTTTCTCATAGCACACTTCTATATATACATATATATATATATGTGTATATTGAGATACCATTTTTTACCATAAGCGAGTTTATTGGTGATGTCTCGACTAGGGTTTTTCTAGAACTTGCTTTGCTATGCATGTCTATGTGTATGCCTTTGATGAAAGTGGATGCATGAAATCAAAATAAGGGTACTTAGGACTAACCTTTTATCTTTATAGCCTCTCTTTTGAAGCTTACCCTTTTCAAAATCACTAGTAAGCCCCTTTGAGCCTTAGACATTTCTTTGATTTATAACCACACTATAAGCTATAATATCCTTTTCTTGATGCCATATTTTGAACCTTGAATCGAATCAATTATATGAATTTCTTTTGGATAAAGAAGAGCTCATGGTATTATATACTTAGACGTGATCGTGCCTTGTACGTAGTCTCGTTATCAGACGTAGACTAGTTTATTTTCTATTTCGTATAAAAAAAAATATTTGAAAAAAAAGCAGAAAAAAAAAAATGAAAAAAAAGAGGCAGACATTCTGTACAGATTTTATTTTTATTTTTATTTTTTTTTTCTATGTTGGTCGAATATTGAGAATCGCATGATCATCTTGCATTGAGCTTGGTTTATGATGAGTTTGTGTGATTGGTTCGATTCCGTTAGCCTTTATCTTTCTTATCCCACCTTACCCTAAGCCTCATTACAACCTGATTTAACCCTTTGATTTTGTGTTTAATTCTTATTCATTTTGGGTGGTTGGACATGATATCTCTGCAAGCTTATGGTAAAAATCTTCGATGTCTTAACTTGAGCGTACATTTACATATAGCCTATACACTTTTGAGTGCAAGAGTGAATCTCGCGAGAAGTGTTGATTTCATGTGTTTTAAGTTATGTGATTGTTGAGTTTATTTTTATTGGTGTCGGTTGATGAGGACTTGGCCTTAACCTTTGTTCGTTGCATGCAAAATATTTTTGAGTTGGCATTAGAAGATAGATGATGACTATGAGGTGAGATGATGGATTTGATTTGATACTTGAGGACAAGCATCGGTTTAAGCTTGGGGATGTTTGATAAGTCAAAAATATATGTCGATTTAGTGAATTAATTTAGGATTATATTAACTATTTGAATTCAATTGACATATGTTTGACATTATCTTGTATTTTCAAGTGGAAACTACCGGTTTTTGAATTCTTTTGCAGATTGACGACTTTTGTGTGAATATTGGCTTTAAAGTCCCAGCCGCTGGAACCAACATGGCAGTGTCGGTATCACATTTCAATTGCAACATGGCCATGTGGGTATTATTTTGGAACAGATTTCATAATTGGGCCAAATTTAACGACTAAGCCCAAAAGTAATACATAACCTATATACCAGCCGCACTCTATAAGGGATCTGGGAGAGAAGGCACACAAGAACAGATCTGCTGGGAGCAGGACTCACGCAAGGGCACAGCAGCAACAAGACATCGACTCCCTCTTCTCTCTTCTTCCTTTCTTCATTATTTTTCTTTTTCTTTCTTTTGATTATGATAGCCCTGCGCGGCTAATTTATCTTTGTCTTGGTTGAAGACGATCGAAACCCAGACCTACTACTGTGAGATCGAATTAGTTGCTTCTATCTTAGTTGTTCAATTGTTTGATAAGTCACATGATCTAAATCCGACTCAATTGTTTCTTTAAATATTAACTTGTTCTTTAACCTTGCTTAAAAATTTGGTCGTGCTGTCGTAGGCATCCAAATTAACCTTGCTTAAAAATATGTTGTGGAGTGAGCAAGGATCGTATCCACGGGGAGAAGTAAACTAAATCTATTAACTATTTGATCAAAGAAGTGGTTTTTGAATTAATGATCTAATTAAACTAGAAATTACCTATCAAACTAACAAATAAATAAAACAAAACTAAATAAACAAAAATAAATATAATATGAATATGCCTTGGTTGAATTGATTTCCACCCTAGACCGTTCCACTATCATTGATGCAAAAATATAAACTCACAATCCACGCAACTGCCGTTGAATATAAATTCCATCTCCTGGTTTAGTCACGCAAAATAAATCCTTCTACGAGACTCTTATAACTAGTTAATTCCCAACATCGTGAAGAATTATTCTAGCAATAGCATTAAATACAAGAGTTCGACAGTCCAATCAATAAATAACTAATCCGTTAAATATTAACTTGTTCAATTATTTCGCCTAAGAACGACAACGCCTAAATCCGGTCAATCATCTATCTTAGTTGCTTCTAGTGAAAGACACATGATCTAAATCCGACTCAAGTATCAATCAAGCAATAGATCATAAGCATAGAATAATAGGTGGCCAATCCATCAACTACACATAACAATCATAAAAATATGCACACGAAACATTGATGCGGAAAATATATGAATTGGAATAAAAACTAATTCGATCTCACAGTAGTAGGTCTGGGTTTCGATCGTCTTCAACCAAGACAAAGATAAATTAGCCGCGCAGGGCTATCATAATCAAAAGAAAGAAAAAGAAAAATAATGAAGAAAGGAAGAAGAGAGAAGAGGGAGTCGATGTCCTGTTGCTGTTGTGCCCTTGCGTGAGTTCTGCTCCCAGCAGATCTGTTCTTGCGTGCCTTCTCTCCCAGATCCCTTATGGAGTGCGACTGGTATATAGGTTATGTATTACTTTTGGGCTTAGTCGTTAAATTTGGCCCAATTGTGAAATCTGTTCCAGAATAATACCAACATGGCCATGTTGCAATTGAACTGTAATACCGACACTGCCATGTTGGTTCCAGCGGTTGGGACTTTTAAAGCCAATATTCACACAAAAGTCGTCAATCTGCAAAAGAATTCAAAAACCGGTAGTTTCCACTCGAAAATACAAGATAATGTCAAATATATGTCAATTGAATTCAAATAGTTAATATAATCCTAAATTAATTCACTAAATCGACACATATTTTTTACTTATCAATTGGATCAATATATAGTATACCAAATAATTCAATATCATACTTTATCGATAAAATACAAAAAATGATATTCCGTTTTACCACAAAATTAATAGTCCAGCGTACAAAACAAAATTGAGGCCCACGTTTTCTATAGATAAAAATAAAAAAAGACCCAAAACAGAGTTATTAAAAAATAATGAAATAGAAACTTCCATTATCACAATTATTTTGGAGCAATTGAATAAATCAACCGAATTTGCACGATCTGCGTAATTAGGGTATCTTAAAAATATAAATTTTTATGGTCTAATTATTTTCTTAATTAATCACGATTTGAGTAATTAAATACACAAAAAACGAATAACATTTATTAAATGATATATAAATAGAAAATATCATTAACACAATTTTTTTAGAACATTTTTTTGAAAATCTTATAATTGATTAATTTTGTCTATATTTCCACGATTGTAGTAATTATTTGCAGATTGAATAAATCAGTCGAATTTACAGAATTTGCGTAATTACGGTATATTAAAAATACATTTCACAAAAGAATTACACAAAAAATATAAAATACTTATTAAATAATAAATTACACAATTTAGTTAGAAATTTTTTAGCAAATCACCTAATTGATATTGCAGTCGATTTCACATAATCTGAAATATTAAAGTATCTTAAAATTATTTTTTTTATAACTTAATTATTTCTTTAAATATTGAGCCGCAATTTCCATAAGTAATTATTTGAAATATACCATAAATTGTTAAATTAATTTTTTGAAACAGTAAATAATTTTTTTTAGGAAAGTAATTACTATTTAAAAAATAATCAAACCTTTTATATGTATGTAGATTATATTATTCTTTTTTTTTTAATTTTTATTTCTGTATTACTATATTTATAGGGTGGCTGCATAACTCGATTAATTCGTGGCATTAACATTTTGAAGATGGATGACAATTTTGAGGAGGGTGGAGCATATGTCATTCGCAATTACCAATTCAAAAGTAACATTGTTAAATAACAATCTATCATCATAAAGTTCAAACTATAGAGGACCAAAGTTTTGGGGTATCTTACCGATTTTCCAACATTTTATTTTGATTATATAATTTTGCTCCCCGCATGATGTTGACAATGTAGATTTTCAAAAACAAATGGTTGTATTTTCAATTTTATTTTTAAATATGTAGACATACATATAGTTGTGTTTCATTCTGATTCTCTACGTATTATATTATTAACGTAAACCCGTCATTTAATATTACAATCATCACTGAATATTACTTCTAGGCTAGTAATATGACATGGCATAAGATTTTTTTGGTGAGTAGTGATAACTGATACGTTGGTACCGACGTTTTTCCATCCATTACCCTCAAGGGTTAATCAGTCTATATGGTACAAGCATTCATAGCGCTGCAATAACGGACCACTTCGAAGTACTACCATCTTCAACACTGTCGGTGGACTGATTAACTGAAACGACCCTCTCTATCACATCTCCTTTCTCTCTCTAGAAATTCATGAGCTCACACTCTGGGCAAGCTCCCCTGTCGTATTCTTTCCTCACACGTCAATTCATATTTCTACACTTTTAATTAACGAAAACTGACCTAATATCCACTCATTAACAGCTATACACACGCGAATTTTCCCTTATATGTCTTTTGTCTAGAGAGATAAAATCAGAGAAAATCAGAGGAGAGAAGAGGAAACAGCCAGTGGCTATTACTTCTACTCGATCTGTCTTTGCTTCCATCTCCATTTCTCATTTTCTCCTTCTGCATTCCCCGCCGATCGTCTGTTTTCATCCTCAATTCTCAGCGTTTCGAACTAAGATCTCTATTGATAGTCGATCGTGTTTTGTATCTCAGTCGCGGGTGACGGCGGCGATTGCCGATTGGATCTGAGGTGAGTGTTACGGTGTCGTTCAGTGTGTGTGTGGAGTCAACGGGTTTTCAGTGGAATGCATTCCTTGAGCAGTGTTTAGGGTTTTTATACTGAATTGGAATTTTTAGCTGACTGGCGGCTTGCTCAACTTAATGGGAAGAATTTTATTTTGTGGCTTACAATTGAGTCAGACAAATTTATATGTTACTCTGCAACGATTTGCCGCTGATAGTCAGCTGGCTTGATTAGGGGTTTGCATTTGCTTTCTATCTTTCTTGTTTATTATGATGAACCTTATGTGGATGTGATTTGTAGATCTGATCCGTGATTTGAACAAATCAAAGTGAGCTACTTTTGCTTTTCTAACTGAAGATAGTGAAAATGTAATGATATCTTGCAGATTTTCAAAGACGAATTCTACCTATTCTGGAATGTTATATTCTGAGTTGAAGCTTGTATTTTGCTGATTGTGAGTCCACTGCTCTGGGCAAAGTTCAGCGAAAATGGAATCTGAAGCAGAGACCAAGGTTAGTAAAAGAGTGTTTGTCAGTCATTATCAGGCAGTTAATGGGAATCAAATCTATATTTCCGATATGACTCGAAAATATACAGCGACTCTTCAAGCAGTTATTTTTCCTTTCTCCTTTTTGTGTTTTTGTTTTGTTTTTCTTGTGTGTCTGTTGTAATAGACCAATTACTTATGTTACTATTTTGCTTCATGTTTTTTTTTTCTTTTTCTCTGAAGTGGTTTGATTGATTTAATTATTTAAAATTGGAATGTTAAGTATTTTTATTTATCTTATTGTATTACAACTGCTAGGGGAAGCCCTTGAAGAACATGGCCAGCCAAGTGTGTCAGATATGTAGTGATAATGTGGGTTTGACTGTTGATGGTGAGCCATTTGTTGCTTGCGACGTCTGCGCATTTCCAGTTTGCAGACCTTGTTATGAATATGAGAGGAAGGATGGAAACCAATCTTGTCCACAGTGCAAAACCAGATACAAGAGACATAAAGGTATGGTCAGTGCATGTATTAGTGCTTTTTAATTATTCTCTGTTCATTTATTTTCTATGTAACCTCAGAAACTGCTGTAAGTTCGTGTAATATTGCTATTTCCCACTACTTTATCATAGATAACAATGATCGGGCGCAGATTTATGAAGATAATCCCAGGGATAATTAGGGTACCGTTCAATAGATTTAATTGTCATAACAGTATAAAGTATAACTCTACATGCATCCTCATTTGGTTGAGCACAATGGGAAAGCATGAAGTACAGTTTAAAGATTTACTAAGGTGCCTGAAGATGTAAATGTGGTGATTGGAGACATTAAGCAGTATGAATAATTGGAATATATGTACATAAATCAGGTTGATTGTGAGGAGTAAAGGTTGTCGACGATTTATCCCTAATAGACTTCGATTAGGTGTTTGTCAAGTGTGCATATTATTTAGCGACCTGCTTGGCAATGTATCTCGAGTAATGAATAATGATATGTAAACCAACTCTGCTTTTCTAAAATCGAAAATTGACATTTTGAAATAGGAAGTCCTGCAATTCGTGGTGATGGAGAGGATGCTGATGGTGCTGATGATCACAATTACTCTGAAAATCAGGGTGACAAGCAGAAGGTTTCAGAGCGCATGTTGAGCTGGCATATGAATTATGGACGAGGGGAAGGTTCAGTGCCAAAGTATGATAAGGAGGTCTCCCACAACCACATTCCGCTGCTTACAAATGGAACTGATGTATGTTTGTATGCTTTCCCTTGGTATTTTCACTCTCTTCTAGGTATAATAATTTGGCTTAATTGGTTGACTGATATTCTTTCTATTCCTCTTGGTAGGTGTCTGGAGAACTATCTGCTGCATCACCTGGACGTCTCTCAATGGCATCTCCACCTCCTGGTGGTGGTGGAAAACGTAAACTTCTGTCCTTTTCCGTGATTTTAACTAGTCAATTTTTTTTCTTATGTGTGCGTGTGGACAACTTCCTCCTCCCCCTGGGTGGAGCTTTCTTCTCCGGTATGTAATATTGTATTTTCAGCTAGGATTGTGGATCCAGTAAGGGAGTTTGGATCACCAGGCTTAGGCAATGTTGCCTGGAAAGAAAGAGTTGATGGCTGGAAAATGAAGCAGGAAAAGCCTGTTGCTCCAATGACTGCTCCACTGACTGCTAGTCATCCCCCTTCCGAAAGAGGAGCTGGAGATATTGATGCAAGCACAGATATTCTTGTGGATGATTCTCTACTGTGAGATATTTACTTTTTGTTACATGTCTTCTACGTGTGGAGAGTATTTACTGAACCAAAAAATAAATAAAAAAAAGGATAATACTGTTGAAGTCCACAAAAAGGCTTCATTCAAATTTGCCTGTTCATGTTGATTCATTATATCAAACTTTTACAATAAGTACATTTTTTTCGGGCAGCCATTCTATGAGTGCCTACATTTCTTTCTTTCTGTAGGAATGATGAGGCTCGACAACCGCTGTCAAGGAAGGTTTCAATCCCATCTTCAAGGATAAACCCTTATAGGATGGTCATTGTCTTGCGGCTGGTGATTATCTGCATTTTCTTACACTATCGAATAACAAATCCTGTATCCAATGCGTATGCTTTGTGGTTGATCTCTGTAATATGTGAGATATGGTTTGCTATATCCTGGATTCTGGATCAATTTCCCAAATGGCTTCCCGTAAACCGTGAAACTTATTTGGACAGGCTTGCTCTTAGGTGAGAAAATTTTCTTTAGTATGAATAGGTACATTATTTGGTACCTTATTAATAATATTAAAATCACTGTGAACCCTTTGTTGCCCATAGGTTCACTTTTTTTGTCTTAAGTAGATATCGGGGGCCCCATTCCTCTGACTTTTGGGCAACTATATAATTACTTTCAACAGGTATGATCGCGAAGGAGAACCATCACAGTTAGCCGCTGTTGACATATTTGTCAGTACTGTTGATCCCCTAAAGGAGCCTCCTCTTGTTACAGCTAATACTGTTCTGTCCATTCTTGCGGTGGACTATCCAGTGGACAAGGTTTCGTGCTATGTTTCTGATGATGGTGCTGCCATGTTGTCATTTGAATCTCTGTCAGAAACATCTGAATTTGCAAGGAAGTGGGTCCCATTTTGTAAAAAGTACAATATTGAGCCACGAGCTCCAGAATGGTACTTTGCTCAAAAAATCGACTACTTGAAAGATAAAGTCCAGCCATCATTCGTAAAAGACCGTAGGGCCATGAAGGTGAGGATATTTATATTTATAAAAATAACCTTTTGACCTGTTATGGTTCTCATTGTCTTTCCTTACAGAGAGAATATGAAGAATTCAAAATTCGTATCAATGGACTTGTTGCCAAAGCTCAAAAAGTTCCTGAAGAAGGTTGGATCATGCAAGATGGAACACCGTGGCCTGGAAACAATACAAGAGATCATCCAGGAATGATCCAGGTAACTTAAGCTTTGTGGAACTGAACTTATAACTTGTGAAAATGTCCATGCTCCTTGATACGTTAAATGATTGTATGAACAGTACATTGGTTGCACACCAAAGTATGTATGCAATGGGGAGAATCTTATATATAGTCATCTGTTTATTTGTTTTTATATTTTTGTATTTCAGTATTTTTAGGCATATCTATTTGTAATTTGGGCAGATATGCTTCATTTACATGTATACAACTACTTACCTTTTCTCAAGGATCAATAGCAAAATCCATGTGTGTGTGTGTGTGTCTGAGTTACATATTAATATTTCCTTGCTTGCAGGTTTTCCTGGGCCAAAGTGGAGGTCTTGACAGTGAGGGTAATGAGCTGCCTAGGTTGGTATATGTTTCTCGTGAGAAGCGTCCAGGGTTCCAGCATCACAAGAAGGCTGGTGCTATGAATGCTCTTGTAAGTGGTCAATGACTTCACTTTTCTTCTCACTTCTTCCTTCTTATCTGACATTTTTAAATACTACACTTGCAGGTTCGCGTGTCAGCAGTTCTTACCAATGGACCTTTCTTGTTGAATCTTGATTGTGATCACTACATTAACAACAGCAAGGCCTTGCGAGAAGCAATGTGCTTTCTGATGGACCCAAATCTTGGAAAATATGTTTGCTATGTGCAATTTCCCCAAAGATTTGATGGTATTGATAGGAGTGATCGATATGCCAATCGCAACACTGTCTTCTTTGATGTGAGTTATTTGGCACTGTCTGAACTGTTTGTTTTGTGGTTCTTTGGGATTTGATGATGGAAAAGGATTAAAATCATAGCCATAAAATTGTTATTTTTTCGAGCAATTCTTATATGTTGTTCCTTTTTTGGCCCATCAGATTAACTTGAGAGGTTTAGATGGCATTCAAGGCCCCGTATATGTCGGCACTGGATGTGTCTTCAACAGAACAGCTTTGTATGGATATGAGCCTCCTCACAAACCTAAGCATAAGAAACCTGGTTTTCTCTCTTCCTGCTTTGGCCGATCAAGTAAGAAAAACTCTAAATCAAGTAAGAAGGGGTCTGATAAAAAGAAATCTAGCAAGCATGTTGACCCTACTGTTCCCATCTTCAGCTTGGAGGATATAGAAGAAGGAGTTGAAGGTATGCGTCCCTCGAAACTTATTGCTTAAGTTTCTAATAGACACTGACACAGTGGTTATGCATTGACCACCCATCTAATTTGAAACATTGAGTTTCAGTGATGATGTTACTGTCCTACGAAATTCAGTGTAATTCTTTGAGGCTGTGTTTGGATCTTGAATTTCGAATTTCATGCTTTAAATATCCTTACTTGGATTTGAATGGATTTAAAGGAAGTGATTATAAATTCATTGTCTTGCTCGCTAAAGCAGTGTTGGCTCTCGGTGGTTCTCACAGTGATGAGATGAAGATTGGATTTGGAATGACTAGATTTGAGGAGTTTATTGAAATCCCTCTTAATAATTAATGAGTATAATCTATTTGACTTCTAGGATGAATTTGACATCTTTCTATTGTGATCCAAACATGTATGGGAATTTGGACTTTGGAAAATGAAATCCATAGACCCAAATCCCTCAATCCAAACACACCCTTAATGAAATTGCTAATTGCATGCCAATTTGTTCAGTCTCTCCTATTTCCCTATTTGTTATGGCATTTCGAAATGGCTGTCTATATGTTTCATCTCCTTATTTTTTTGTGCTCTTCATTTGGTGAGTCAGGTGCTGGATTTGATGACGAGAAGTCACTGCTCATGTCTCAAATGAGCCTCGAGAAAAGATTCGGGCAATCAGCAGTTTTTGTTGCATCTACTTTGATGGAGAATGGCGGTGTCCCCCAATCTGCCACACCAGAGACTCTTCTGAAAGAGGCGATTCATGTCATTAGCTGTGGGTACGAAGACAAGACTGAATGGGGAAGTGAGGTTAGCTTGTTATGTACCATCTGGAGTTGCAGAAATACCGCCTTTTCTACTTAACATCGCAATGAACATTTATTTCTAGTATGTCTTTAAGCAAAAATTGGATTCTGATTTTGATGACAAGATCCAAAATAGATTGTGAATTGTACTACATTCACTTCAATGCCAAAGGGTTTCACATTTTTTTAAAAAGTTCATTGCAAGGAGATGTTTTCATTTTACCTTGATGTATTACCGAGAACTATATAATATTCTAATGGTTAATTATAAAAAGCACATTTGAAATCTCGATAAAAACGTAACAAGATTAACTTCTTTCTTTTGATCTGTTTATACAGATAGGATGGATTTACGGTTCTGTGACAGAAGATATTCTGACGGGTTTCAAGATGCATGCCCGTGGCTGGCGCTCGATTTACTGCATGCCCCCAAGGCCGGCCTTCAAGGGCTCTGCTCCTATCAATCTTTCTGATCGTCTGAATCAAGTGCTTCGGTGGGCCCTCGGGTCTGTGGAGATTCTGTTTAGCAGGCATTGCCCGATATGGTACGGCTATGGTGGCAGGTTAAAATGGCTGGAGAGGTTCGCATATGTCAACACCACTATTTACCCTGTCACCGCCATTCCTCTTCTACTCTACTGCACGTTACCAGCCGTCTGTTTGCTCACAGGAAAATTCATTATCCCACAGGTTTGTTCTCATTACTGGGGGGACAAAAAAAAAGTGATTTTGAGGGTGTATTCGTTTTGGATTTCGAGTGACATTATGGGACTTTTTGAGAAATGAGACTTTAATTAGATTTTGAGTGGGATTTCGTGTAAGGTTTTTACTTTATAAAATGCCAGCAAATCTTAAAAAGTCGTAACAAATCATAACCTCACGATTTTGTAAGACATTTTTTAAAATCTCAAATGAATACCCTAAGCCTTTGAAAAGTTATAAAAAAGTCTAAATTAAATACCCCATGATCTCTAATGTCTTAAAAAAAGTTTAGAAATCTCAATTGAATACACCCCTACAAGTTCTGCATAACATAACATTGCATTAGGTCACGAACTCACGATTTATGTTTCAGCCAGATTACAAAAAAATGTTACCTGCAAATTCTCTCTAAATTTTGCAGATTAGTAATCTGGCAAGCATATGGTTCTTGTCCCTATTTCTCTCGATTTTCGCGACCGGCATTCTCGAAATGCGGTGGAGTGGCGTGGGCATAGACGAGTGGTGGAGGAACGAGCAGTTTTGGGTCATCGGTGGTGTGTCGGCCCACCTTTTTGCCGTGTTCCAAGGCCTGCTCAAGGTGCTAGCTGGCATCGACACCAATTTCACGGTCACTTCAAAGGCGTCAGACGAAGATGGGGACTTTGCTGAGCTGTACATGTTCAAGTGGACGACACTTCTCATCCCACCCACAACTCTCCTCATTGTCAACATAGTCGGGGTTGTGGCTGGTGTCTCTTATGCCATAAACAGCGGGTACCAGTCGTGGGGCCCACTCTTTGGCAAGCTCTTCTTTGCATTTTGGGTGATTGTCCATCTTTACCCCTTCCTCAAGGGTCTCATGGGCAGACAGAACAGAACCCCGACTATCGTTGTTGTTTGGTCTATTCTCCTTGCCTCCATCTTCTCCCTCCTTTGGGTCCGGGTCGACCCGTTTACCACCCGGGTCACGGGCCCTGATGTCGAGCAGTGTGGAATCAATTGCTGATTTAGCTTCAACTNTTTAAATCGATATTGCCATAAGTGAGAGTGATGAGATTTATATATACTGTGTTGGTGACAGAAAATGGATGTTGATACCTATAAATTGTTAAAGACTCGTTTGAGCGACATTTAATTTATTGTTTTGTTCGTTCGTATTGTTTTGTGCAAGATGCTATACATTGTTCCTGCTGTTAGATGGATGATCTGAGATCATGATGGTAGAATTTGCTTGGTGCTAGTTGCTGCGTATTTATTTATTTATCAAAATGTATAATCTGTACTTTTACGTCAACTAATTTTCCAGCGTATTTTAGTTAACTACTTTATTTTTTTTTTATCACAAGTAAAGATGTTAAATAAAAGAGTTGTTTGTGAGCTTAACTCGGATAAGTTTGAACTCAGGTTGTTAAGACTCAAAAATAATAATATTTATATAATTTTTTATTGCTCAAATCACTAAGGCTCGGGTTTGGCTTGTTATATCGATAAATGAACCGATTTTGAGTTTGTTTACTGATATGGTCGATCTTGAACTTTTATATGCCCTGGAATAATGTGGAATAATGTGCTAAATTTGTTTGCTTTTAGTTTCCAAATTTTTTAAGTTAATAAAGGAAAATATTGTGTTTAGCCATAATAAAAGCAATGAAATTTAAAATGGAATTTTAACTAAAATCTATATAAATAAAAAAATTGAGAAATATCTCAAAAATCACAAATGAAATTGTGAAAAATCCTAATTCCCAAACTTCGGATTTCAACCCCATGTGTGGAAGGGTGTTGGGAAAAAATCAATTCATCAGTATATTCGATCACAAGTACGGTCGTTCAAGAAAAATGACAAAATTTCAGAGCATATTAATCGCAATACATGCCGACTTACCTGCATTGCCGGTTGTTTTTTTTTTCGCCGGCGACGTGACTGAAGCACTGCCAATACTCTCGGTGCTGACGTCAATTGTCGTCGTTGCGTGGTGGCTCCCAATCTCCGAGAAGTTCACAGCCGGGTGGTGGAGAAGATGGGTCTTTTGGTCATTTTACCACGAAATGCTTGGTTCTTTTATGGTGGTGGGTGGGTCATTCAAATTGGGGAAGGTGAGGTGAGTTTGAAAAATGAGGGAACAGATTATAGCTGTGTATATCTACTGTGATGGGATCCACAAAAAGTAAAAGCAAAAATAATAAATTGGTAAACAAACACTAACAACAGTATCATGTGAATGATTTCGGTTGGGAATAATTTTATAGAGAAAAAACTGGTTAACAAACACACCCTACGTATTAGAAGCTTGAATCCAATTCATGACTTCTATTTTAGGCCTTAAGATTACTTTACTGTTATCGATTGAAAAAAAAAAACGACTTGTTTTTTTTTTCCAAACATCAAATATTATAAAAGAAAACTCGGCATGTACACAACGAGTAACCAAAGGGTTACGATAGTTCAGGGGATCTTGTAAACAAGCATCCCTACCACGACCACAAAGGTCACTCCTACCCAAACTAAAAACAACTAAAAAACAACACAAGATTGTCCAAGACACAACCAAACCAAAAAAACAACAACAACAAACTAAACAACAACAAAAAATCATCCATAATCAACAAGTTTCCAAGCATCTAAAGAGGACAGTAGCATACATATATCATTGGCAATCATAGCTACATCAATATCCCAGCCTTCCTTCACAGCCATCTTCTTCCTCAGACCTTTGTCAGCAATGAAAAGTTCCACCTTTGTCCATCCTTTTTCCCTGCCTTCTAACAGCCATTGCCTCAACCTCAGAAGTTGCCACTCCACTGAACAATGAACATTGTCCCTAGAAATTGTCCACCTCTGAGTTTGTCCACTATTGTCCCATGCTGTGGCTTTGATCAGGTCTTGTGATTCAGCATCTCCATTAGCACTGAGTGCAGCAACTGCAGCCCCTACTCCTTGGATTCTGCTGGTCCTGAGAGCTTGAACCTTGCAAATTTCCTCATACTCCTGCCATTCTGTAATTGCTTTTTCCACCACCTTCTTCTCAGACATCCATTCCTTTTGAAACAGCCAACCATTTCTGGTTTTCCACATCCACCACAGGATGTATGTGGACAAAGAAATCCTATCTATTTTATTATCAGCCAATTTGATATTACATATCTCTCCCCACCAGTCCCCAAAATTCACCATCTCCCCTTGCAATCTGTCCCATTCCAGCCCAGCTAGCTTTCACACTATCCTAGCTCTTTCACATTTAAACATTATATGCTCCATATCCTCCCTTTCCTCTCCACACCAGCCACATATTCCATCAACCTCCATCCCTCTCCTTTCCAAGTTACACATAGTACTTAAGCAATTATGAAAGCATCTCCAGATAAAAGTTTTTACCTTTGGCTTGATTGGTAACCTCCATGTGTGCTTCCACATCTTTTCCAACTGGTGGCTCCTTGAACTTCCTTCTACCTGACCCATTTCCTCTCTTCTTTTCTGCTGAATAGTTTGGTATGCACTTTTCACTGTAAACTTCCCTTCCTTATGGTAATGCCAAACCAATCTGTCTGTGATACCCATCTTGCTGGTTTGTATGTTGAGAATTAATTCAGCATCATGTGGATTGAAAGATTGTTGCACTAGTTCTGTGTTCTGTGTCCCATTCAGAAGTTCCATCCTTCAAAAGGTCTGCCACCTTGGAGAGTCTCACCTTGTCACCTAGAAAAGGGCATGCAGGTTTGAAACTGTGATTATTAGGGATCCATGGGGAGTCCCATATGTCTATGGACTTCCCATTACCCACTAAAAACCTACAACCCAAACTCAGAGACTTTCTAGCTTCAAGCCACCCCTTCCACATCCATGAATCAGTGTCTTTCTTCTTAACCTCCATCAGATTTTGGTTGTGGAAATACTTGCCCTTAATACTCTACTCATCAGGATGTTAGGTTTAGTTAAAACTCTCCAGAGCTGTTTAACAATCAATGCTTCATTAAAATCCTCAAAGACTTTGAAACCCAGCCCCCCAGAAATTTTGGGTTCTGTCATTCTAGACCACTTCATCCAATGAATTTTGTTCCCACCCTCCCCTGTTTTTCCCCACCAAAAGTTTGCAATATGTTGACAAATCTCCCTACACACCCCCAAAGGTAATCTGAAAACTGACATAACATAAACAGGAAGGGCAGCAAGAACAGTTTTGATGAGAATCTCCCTCCCCCCCTCACTCAAAAAAGTATTTTTCCAGTTATTGACTCTGGCTATCACACACTCTTTGACAAAAGAGAAAGTGTCTCTCTTAGATCTGCCTAGTCCCAAGGGTAAACCAAGATATTTAGAATACCTAGCAATGGCTACCCCTCTAAATATAGAACACACATCAGATTTCACTTGCTCAGATGTATTTTTAGAAAAGAATAAACTGGATTTATGAAGGTTAATAGCCTGCCCAGAAGCCTCACAGTATTTATGCAAAATTTGCAGCAACATCTCAGCATGTTCAGTGTCAGCTTGGCAAAACATAATGGCATCATCAGCAAAGACTAAATGAGAGACAGTGGGAGAGTTTCTACTGATTTTGAGGCCATTGAAAGAATTAAGCACACAAGCTCTATGAATCAGATTTGACAGTACTTCAGACACTATAATAAATAAGTAAGGGGACAGAGGACACCCTTGTCTCAAACCTCTAGATGGAACCACATGACCCATAATAGACCCACTGAAATTAAAAGAAAAAGATGAAGAGCTAATGCAAGCCCATATCCAAGACAAGAACAGTTCACAAAAACCCATCCTTCTACAAACCCTAATAATAAAACTCCACTCCACTCGATCATAGGCTTTTTCCATATCTAGCTTAAGAGCCATCATGCCTTTTTTTCCCTCTTTTCCTACTATTAATAAAATGCACACACTCACTAGCAATGATGAAATTATCTAAAATCTGTCTCCCAGGCACAAAAGCTGCCTGAGATTGAGATATACAACCAGCAATAACATCTTTAAGCCTAGTAGCCAAAAGCTTAGCCAAAATTCTATAAGTAACTGTACATAGGCTGATAGGTCTATAATGCACAACAGAGTTGGGGTTTTTAATTTTGGGAATAAGGGTCACCACAGTGTGATTTGAGGCTTTAGGAATACAACTGGAGTTCAAAAAGTTGGACACAGCAGAGATCAAATCATTTTTGATAATGTCCCAATTGGACTGAAAAAAGAGAGGAGAGAATTCATCAATACCTGGAGCTTTTCCTGGATCCATAGCCCATACTGCTGCTTTAATCTCTTCCTCAGATGCAGGTTTTGTGAGATCTTTGTTCATTTCAGCTGAAATAGATACTGGGATACCTTCAAGGACTTTCTCATTATAGATTGGTTGTCCAGACTTGAAGAGTCTCTCAAAGAAACCCACCACTTCATCCACAGACTCTGTTCTATTCCGACACTGGTCCCCATTCATTTTCACCAAGAAATCAAGGCAGTTTCTCTGTCTCTTCTGCCTAACACAAGCTTGGAAAAAGCTTGTGTTTTTGTCTCCCTCCTTCAGCCACTTAACCCTGGCTTTCTGCCTCCAGTATGACTCCTCTGATTGATATGCTTCATGCACTGCAGTCTTATATTCCCCCCATTCTTGCCAGTCTCTATCCCCTCATTGTTGGCCAAGCTGTTCCAGTTTTGCATTGCAGATTTTAATTAACTGGCTAGCATTTGTACTTTGTTTAGCAGCCCATCCAAGCAGCCCAAACTTAACCTCCCTGAGCTTCTTCTGAAATTTGTACAACCCCTGACCAGAAGTACTGATGTCCCAGGAGTTTTTAATACACTCAGAATACCCATCCATACAAGTCCATTTGCTATCAAACATGAACCTCTGTCTCTGATGTTTAGGTTCCTGAACAGTTTCCATAATCAGCATGTTGTGGTCTGAAGACACCACTTGGAGATTAAGCACTTTGGCATCAGGGAACTTAAGCATCCAGTTAGGGGAAACACAAACCCTATCTAGTTTTTCCTCTATAAAATCATTCCCCTTCCTAAGATTAGACCAAGTAAAACTGCTCCCAGGCATAGGACATTCCACCACCCCAATATTATACAAAAAGTCATTGAAATTCCTAAAAGTAAGCACCTCTCACCACCCCCCCTCTCTTCTCCTCAGAGCTTCTAATATCATTGAAATCCCCCCCTATGAACCATAAATCTCCCCATCTAAGACTATGCCTAGTAAGCAGCTCCCATTGGACCTGTCTTTCAGAAGGGTTGACACTAGCATAAACAAACACTGCCCACAAAACATCATTGACTCCTTGACAAGAAAACTTAACTTCTATACTGAAAACATTATTAATAATCTCAATCACAGAAATTTTATCAGACCACCCCAACAAAAGCCCACCTTTAGCCCCTACAGAATCAGAACAAAACCACCTAGAATCCAAATGTAAATTTTTACAAACAATAGATATAAAAGCATTTTTCTTTTTCGTTTCAGAAATAAAGATAAAATCTGGGAGGTAGGATTTACATTTCTCCTTCAACTGGGAAATTGTAGAGGGTCCTCCCAGACCTCTACAATTCCACACCAGAACTCTCATTTTAAACCTTGGGACCAGTTATGGCTGGTTGCCTCCACCATTTTTTCAGAAACATTCTCAGTCTTTTTGGATTTTTTGGAAATAATATCACAACAAGCATCCTCAATGACAACAGTTTCAACAACTTTTCTTTTTAAAGATCTAGGATCACTAGTGTCCCCTTTTAAACTGACAAGCTGCTTATCAGACTGACCAGAAACTTTACTATCTATCCCTTTACTTCGAGTTACCCTCACAGAGGTTTTATTATTTTTGGGTTTTGCAGATTGAACAATGACTTCCACTAAATTATCAACTTCTCTACTAACCCTTTTATTGATGTCCAGGTCCATAGGAGCCACTAAACTAGCAATCTCACTACCCTTTTCCCCCTGCCCTCCAACAACTTCATCAACAAATTTAACAACCCCTACTACATTCTCATTAAGAGATTCTTTAGGAAGTTCAACCCCCTCACCTATTTTCTCCCCCTCCTGAACACTAACCACTTTATTTCCCCCCTCAGAACTAGTCCCACCTTTTTCCATAACTATTTTATCAGCTTGACTCGACTTAGAATTTTGATTTTTCCTAGGAGGACTATTAGATTTCCTCTCTCTAGACCCCCATATTCCCCCCACTGGAGCTCTTAACCAATCCTCATATTGCCCAGTTCTGATGACTTTATGCTGTATGTCAACCTTCTTATCAGCACAAACTCTCTCACTATGCCCGATTTTCCCACAGTAGAAACAGCATGATAATAGCTTCTCATATTTCAACTCCACCCAATACTCCTCCTTACCTAGTTTCACAACAGTGCCTCTAGGTAAAGGTTCAACAACACTAACCTCCGCTAGAATTCTGACTACATGATCATTGATGCCTCCATTTCCTGGGGATTGAACATCGATCACCTTGTTGAAAAGTTTCCCCACCTTCAGACCGATTTCAGCAGAGAGCCAATGAAGCGGCAGTTTATGGATTTGCACCCACAAATCAACTTTTAGCTCTGCATCAGTAAAATCCACTTCACCTTTCTTCCATTCCTTTAGAATTAAATATTGCCCGTCAAATGTCCAGGCCTCTCCTCGGAGAACCTTGCTTTTATCTTCCTCACATTGGAACAAAAATTGGAATAGGTTTGATCCTATGAGTCTGCTTGAGAACGGTTGTTCCGTACGCCACACCATCCCCATCGTTGCTCTTAATCCTCCCACACTGGCCTTTTTTTCCCCAATAATCTTCCCAATTAGGCTTAGAGAGCATTCCTGGGTCCCCGGTTCAGCATCCGTATCAGAAACCTCAACCCCAGATTTTTCTTTATCCGATAACTGAAATTTATGTAACCTGTCGATAAGATCCGTTTCCATTGGAACTGAAATGAACAAGATCTCGAAAACTTGCACAAGTAAAGATAACACAGAGAGAGCTTGAATCAAGAAATTCCAAGCACAACAGATCCTACACCTTTAACCCAAAGAAACGAAACACACAGATGAAAAGAGCCACAAATAACCTTGCCAGGGGAACAAACCCTAACAATTTGGAAGAAACGAAAAATAAGAAGGTACTAAAACTCCACACTCGATGGAACGGGAAACGAAAAAAGACTTGTTGTTACCACACAATTATGACGTATGCCCGCGCTCATGCACACAAATCAACTTCAATTTTCATGACACCATTGTTAATTTGGTATAAAACGTGGCGGCTTCCAATTAATTGCATGCTCATCACACGTGTCGAGTTACTAAACACCCCCAAAAGGATCTTATCATCGATGATTAGCACACGTGTCCCAAATCCTCGAAAAACGTCACCGTATTCTGATACACATCTTATCCTTAGAAAGCCTCAACAGTAAATACAAAACAGCACGCTTATCTTGATCTTGCTCCAATAGAGATAGAGCGGCATACACAGAGCTGCCAATCCATTTTAATTCCGCTGAGCTAATTATAAGCCATTAAATGGAAAAAATGTCATCGGGCTTTGAAGAACCAATGCTCTCTAGGCTCAGTCGCCTTGACAACATCGTACGTGCACTTTCATATATTCCTAGATTTCAGATTTTATGCATATTTATTTATTCTTCTTTGTTTTCGTGTTGGATAAATTGCAGCTGAAGCAATTGGAGGAAATTAGGAGTGGGACCCACTCGCCAAAGAGTTCGTACGAGTCGACCACTTCAAGTGGGACTCTCACGAGCGAAGGCCAGCCGCCATCTTTTGCTGACGTGTCACCTGAAGGCCTCGAGAAGCACTGCCGGCCGGTCGAGGAGGTGATGTTAGAGGTCGAGCGAAAGGGCACGTTGATCGATCGGTTAATCCTTGCTGAGGATCGTATTTTGAAGGTAATTAGTTCGTAAATTTGAAAAAGAAAAAAAAAATGAAAAGGAAGAGGATAGAGCAAAATTGTTATTCTGGATGTGATTTGGAAGTATTTTTTTTTTATTTTTTATTTTTTGTTGGGTGATGGATTTTTGTTGTCTGTGTTTTGCTTTGGCGCTATATATACGTCAGCTGTGTATGCAGTTGGAAGAGGAGTTTGAGGGAGAGAGGGTAAAAGAGGAAAATGGCATGGCGGACAAGATAAAGTCGACTCCTAAGAAGGGACTAAAGCAGTTGGTTAAATCGTGTGTCACGAGGAAGAAGCACAAGAACACTGTCTGATTAATCAGTTTTTATGTTTTCTGTTTTGTTGAATAGCTGGTGGATTTTCTAGGATGCTATTAATGCCCGTTCATCATACTTCTGTTTTTTTATTTGCGTCATTATGTTGATTCTGTACTCGGACATTTTGTATAGTGGAATTGAATGTTGTTCTGCTGGATTTTTCGATAGCTACAACAGAATAATCAACTAAGCAGGACTTGATTTCCAATTAGTATTTTCGGTGACTGAATACTCGCTTGGTCAAAAAAATATGAAAAATGATACATTGTTATCTTAATGTTGATTAACACAATTGAAAAAATTCAAAAAAATAAAAATAAAAAAATGCACAAGGTTGATATTTTCACTTGTGTTTCTACACTAAGTTGGCTAAGTTGGCAACGTAGTATTTCTCAAAAAATATGTCACATGAATAATCAGCCACACAATAGCGGTTAAGATAAGTGCACTTATCAATTAAATTCCATGTTGAAGCCAACTAATGTTGTTTGTTAGATTGTAAAAAGGATGTCACATGAATAATCAGCTACACGATAGCGGTTAAGAGAAGTGCTTGCACATTTCAATTATGGTGTGTTTGTTTATCAATTGTTTCAATTCATATTCAAAATCTAATTGAGTTTCAGCTCAAGTTCACTATCCTCAATACTATCAATATAATTAAATAATATCAATTTATCATATTTACATATTACATCAATTGTAGTCCGTTATTCATTCACTTGTTATCTCTCTTTTATTTTTGTTTTACTTTAAATATTATTTTAATATAATTTCAAAATTCCACCAATAACTAACTATACCAATTTTTTCAAAATTAATTATAGTTAATTAAAAAAACTCATTTTGAGCGAATTTATTTGTAAACAAACACACACACCGATCATGGAAGTCTCCCACAAAACTTAGTCATGCAAGATGCAACGAAGTTCTAATAAAAGCGAATGCAGAATATTCAAAATCTCAGAACAAATACAAACCCTTGGCGAAATTTGGCTTTAGCTCAGACCTCAGTGGTTAATTCCCATTGCGATGCATGGGTAGGGAGTTTTTTTCGACTTTATTGTAAGGATAGACGATGCGCTTTTTCTTGTAATTTGAGAATGCCAAAAAATATAAAATACATTTAAAAAAAAAAAAAAATTACAGAATCCTCGTCTAAAACAACAAAATTTCCCGAGTAAACTGACCTTTTCAATTTCTGCTTAACTCCAACTTGTTTACCCAGTAATCAAGTTGACTGGCTACACATTCTGAGCCAGTGGATCCATACGAACTGAATTTTTTAATAGAGTTTTCGACTCCAAGAAACTCGTACACATCCTTGTCAAACGTTGCGCTTATACTTTTGAGCTCATCCAGAGTCAAATCTTGAAGTTGGCAATTTCTTGAAAAACATAAGGCAACGGCTCTACCAACGATATCGTGAGAAGTTCTAAAAGGTACATCCTGCAAGGAGAAAAAAATCAATTTTCTTCCAGTGGTTAATACTAATATCCCAACTCATAATCTCATATCTAATTAACTTATAACAAAACATGTTATTTTTTTTTTTTTTTTCTTTTCCTGGAGTCTTTCATATTTTCTCATGATATCAGCAGAATGCATTTGTGATACTGATAAACTCCTCAACCATCAAATGAAACAACATTTAAGTACTGAGTCCGGGGATGGAAGCTGAATGTATAATGCATGTAAAAGGGAAATGATATTACCTTTTTCACAAGATAGTCTGCGAGTGTTGTTGCATCAAGATGACCAGCTGGCAAAGCATTTTGGATTTTCTCCTGGTTGAAGGTGATGTTTTCAGCAAATTCTGCAGAAACTTCAAGCATCCCCATTATTGTTTTTGCACTGTCAAATACAGGTTCTTTATCTTCCTGTTTCACGGTGGTGAAGTGTTAAGGATTTTCCCATGCATAATAATCTGAAACACCAGTTAGCTTCAATAACAGAGTGACTGAAGAACTAAACAGTTAACTTTCAAATTCACAACTAACCTTGGAGGTGGTTTATTTTTATCTTTTACCAATTGTGCCCAGTGCAAGGTGCACTTGCTAACCAAATCAAGTAAATTCAATGTGTTTGATATTAATAAACAAAATAAAAAAATAAAAAAATAAAAAATAAAAAAGAAGAGTGAGTCTTTGGTACTTTATCACACGAGTCAGTAGAATTGTGTTTGACCTGTAAGTCACGGTTGTAAGCATGAGGAAGACCCTTGCACAACACAAGAAGAGAAACCAGGTCCCCAATAACTCTAGCAGATTTCCCCCGAACGAGTTCCATTGGGTCTGGGTTCTTTTTCTGAGGCATTATACTGCTTCCAGTTGAAACCGAATCACTAGGAGTGATGAAACCAAACTCTTCTGATGCCCACAACACCCATTCTTCACCAAGGCGGGAGAGATGGACGGCTATGATGGAATTTGCAGAAAGGAACTCTAGAACAAAATCTCGGTCTGAAACAGCATCAATGCTGTTTCATACATATGTTACAAATAACTCAAAGACACTCAAAAATATTGACAGGGAAACACAAAACAACAAAAGATACAGTGAAGCATTATACTAGGATTCACTGAATACATCTCAATCATGACAAGCACACTCCAAATCACAAATTGAAGTGTCATACAGAACTGAAGACCATGCAGTCAGGCATAACAAATGTGTGTAAGACTCCTTTGAACTTATATGGACCACAAAACAACAAGCACATACCTATTCCTCATTGGGGCACTGAATCCCAAAGCCTCGGAAGTCATAAACCTATCAATGGGCAGGCCAGTGCCAGCTAATGCACAGGCACCCAGGGGGCAAATATTCATTCTGACATGGCAGTCCAGCAAACGGCCAGCATCCCGTTCTAGCTGCAAATCATTGAACAAGCGATAAGCAAGTTCCATAAATTTGAAGCATCACGAGATGAAGATGAGTCGCTGGTCCTTCCAACCCACCAATTGAATAAACTACAATAACTAGTTGAGTGAATTTGCAATATGAATAATAATTACTATGTGCCAAAAACAAGTGTGGGAAAAGGTTAAAGGAGGGACAAGACACTGTGATACCAACCCTGTAGCCAACATACATAATTTTTTGTTAGGATGAAACAAAATAACATGAAAGCAAGGTACTATAATTCACCGCTTTCACCCAGGATTTCTTTCCTGATTGATTTATTTGTCTTCCATGTTTTTTTGCTGCGTTGAAGGGAAGAAAGAAACACAAAGAGGAGAAAATAGAGAAAACATAAAATATATGGAAAATTAAAGAACACAGAGAATATCAGCATTACAACAGAAGAGAGTAGTACCCTTCCCAGGGAAATCCATATTGCATTTAGCTCACTGAGATCAAATTTACTTCTATTCCTAATTGGAAATCTATGGGAGTAATTATAGACTAAAAGGCTCTCTTTTAGATCATATTTATATTCTTCCTACCTGAGTATACTAATTACGCCATCACATAATCTGGGAAAAACTGAAGGGGTCCACTATATCTTATACAGTATACTCAACTGAAACCAACCCACCTGCTCAACATATGTTAAAAGAAGATGCGCCAGAAGAACAGGTTGTGCCCTTTGCAAATGAGTATACCCTGGAACTATCAGGCCTTCATTCTTCACAGCCAGTTTCACCAATGCAACCTACACAATGCAGTGCACAAGTTTCCAACTCAGAGGAAAGCATGAAATCCAATACATATATAGAACACAGTTAAGTTTCCTGCAAAACTTTAACAGTCAACAGTGATGTTAAAAGAGAAATTGCATTACATTTCCCATAAGCTCATAAGCTGAACGGAAAGATTCCTAATACGAGCAACAATTCCATCAATCGCGTCCCGACACCAGAGCCGAAAGTCAGTGCAGACTTGATCGTTCCTGCTCCGGGCAGTATGGAGCTTCTTTGCAGGCTCACCAACTAAGTCCGTGAGCGCAGCTTCAATGTTCATGTGGACGTCTTCCCTGTCCGTCCTCCAAGCGAACTCCCCTCTCTCGATCAGCCTCTCAATCTCATCAAGCCCTCTCAGAATGTCGGCCCTATCGCCTTCGCTAATCAATCCCTAAAAAACAAAATCGCGTGCTCTGAGAGCTAACAGCGGCAGACAACTCGCACGAGCCACAGCCGAAATGCGCACACAATATATAAATTCACAGATGTTCGGTACCTGACGAGCGAGCATGGAGGCGTGTGCGCGGCTGCCCATGATGTCGTGCTTGTAGAGCGCCTTGTCGAAGGAGATTGACTCGGTGAATTTCTCGACGGCGTCGGTGGTGCTGGATTCGAACCGCCCGCCCCATAGCTTCGGTTCCTTCGAGCTCATATGAACGGCGGCGACCGAGAAAGAGGTTTTCCGGTGGATTTGGGGCGGGTATCGGGAAATGGGGGCAGCTAGAGGTTTTGGGAGTGAGGAGACAAGTGGCATTATTGTAATAACTTCTGGTTTGGAAGCAGCGGGTGATATTTTTAGGTGTTGGGTGAACAAAATCGAGCAACTGAGGCGACCCGTGTGTACAAAACAGAGATAAAACTAAACAATTGAGCTGAATTGGTACCGTGCAGTGGTGTTATATTTTGTCTACAAAATTTTCGATTTGGTTATTTCCTAAAGTTTCTCTACGGTTTGATTTACTTTTTTCATTTTTATTTTTTTATTTGATAAATTTGATATTTTCGATGTGATTTTATACCCACACACCGTGCTAACCCTATTTAGGGAAAATGATCATAAGGAGTGTATTAACATTGGTTATTATTATTTTTTAAAATTACGTTTTATTGATTTGCTATTTGTAAAATGTCATATTTTTACTGATTGTATTAGTTTTTCAATATATGATATTCTAATAGAAAGGACATGATCGCTCAATGTGAAATTGTGAATCGGTGTATAGTGGGTGATTTAATTGAAAAACTAACTAATATCTATTACATATGGAGTTTAAGTCTACTATTTTTGAAATTCTTTACCAAAAATATTTAATTACTGAAATATAACTTTTTACCTTTTTGTTTTTAGCATCGACTATTTTTAGAAAAAAAATCTTGAAAATTTTACCTTAATTGATTCGATTTTTACAATTCATTAACTAAATAACCTTTGTAATTATATAACATATCTCCATAATTATCCATTAAATTTATTTAAAATCATCTTTTGTTTTACTGTAAGATGGTTAAATATGGATCAATAAGTTGTCCTGTTAAGCAGTCATACTTTTTCAACATATTTAACCATCTTACAGGAAACCAAAGTAAAACCAGTAACAGAAACAATGAACATGATCATAATTATGTTTATATCATAGAAAAAAAGAAAAAAAAAAAAAATCAAAGCAAAAGAGGAGAACTAAAGTTTCAACAGATGAAAACAATTGCGCCAGCAAAAGAAAAGAAACAGCTTAAAAACTGCACCATCACAGTTTTTACATCTAATCCTCCTCAAGATTGATGGAATCTTTAAATTTCCCATACAGAATCTTCTTCAATTCGGCCATCTGAGCAATTATGGACTCCCTTTCCTCTTGCAGCTTCGTCAAATTCTTGCTCGTCACTTCCTTCATATCTTCAATCCTGCTTTCCACTTCATCTTTGGGCACGTGAACAAATACCTCACCTATTTGGAACCTCACAATCTCCTCATCAGTAAGGATCAGCTCATTGCTTGCATCCTCAAGACTTTCATTGTTTTCCTGATCAAATTAGACAAGAGAAGCACGTTTTGGATCAACATATGATACAGGTCGAATCAAGCATGAAGTTTGGAGGCAAGTGTCAGTCATTTGGTCATAACTGGAATTGCCAGCCACAATTTGTATGAGTATAAGGTTAGTTATGAATATAACCTGTTTAGGATATAGTTTAACCGGATCAAACAAGACGTGAAAAGAATCCTTCAACATAAGGAACATACTAAATTACCCTTCTATGCTTATCCATGCAATAAAAGAATCCTAGACACTTTATTGCACAATCCCTTCGCGCCCAAAAAACAAAGCAGCACTTCTTGTGATGAGTAAAAGGCAGAAAAACTAAGTAGAAAGCATAATTCTTGTCAATCAATAAATTAATTTGATCGTGTGCATAGTTTTGTAACTATTTCATTCTGGTTCTCCAAATTCACTACACCATTCTCAATGGCAATTCTAGTGCGTAGCATAGTAACAGATAATATAATGGAATTTCAAGAAAATTGAAAAAAAAATGGTATCGTCTCTTCAGATGTTAAGAGCAACAATCCCAGATGCTAAATTTGGATCTCTTCTTCCAATAATCCTCCAATTCAGGTAGGTGAAAAAAAGTACGAAATTCCCACCAGGCTCCATATTAGAAGATCGTAGCAATAATCCATCTATCCTATCCACTTTAAGTTCCAAAAACTCAAGTTTAACCGCAACCATCAACTGAAAAACCCTATAATTTGCCTAGGTGTTGGCAAACCGCGCTCTTATCCAATCCATTCATTCTCCGTCAGAAAAATCACTTCATTCCAAGACTCGCTAGCAAAAGTTATTAGACACAGAGTCCCAGGTTCAGATGTAGAAAGAAGAAAATAAATACTTAAAAGGGAAAAAGGAAAAAAAAAAGAAATAAAAAAAAAAGTAAAATTCCCCACCTTGGCAGTCTTGATTTCATCGTCTAGCTCGTGAAGCCGATTGTTCAATCTTCCGAACTTATTGATATTCTGCTGATCATCCCACGTTACCTCAGCCTCTGACCCCGACGATCCAGCCTTGAAATTACAAAAAAATGGGGGAAATTACAGGAATGAATCGAAACAAAACTGATTTTTTACAGTCAATTTTAGATTCAGTGTTACGCATCTCGGGGACACTCTCATTTACCTGTTGCATTGTTAGACAAATTCGAAGCGAAGTGCTAAAATCAGAAGGGTTTAGCTGTCGCTTGCAAAGGGAGAACAGAGATTTTGGACAGGGAAAAGAACGATTGCAAAATTGCCCTGGGTACCATTCCAACCATAAAACCTTGGTCAAATTTGTATGTTCTTTAATTTTTTTTTATGTATTAAAAAAAATATACTTATACAACAACAAAAAGAAAATATATAAAAAATTATATTATTAAGCTGTAAACAATATATAACAAAGAATTAATAAAATGATAGTACTTAAAATGAAAAGGTGCTTTACACTTAGTTTTAAAATAAATAGCAAAGAACTAATAAAATGATATTATTTAAATTGAAAGGTGCTTTACACTTAGTTTTAAAAAAAAATTACAAAAATGTAATTTTTTATTACTTTTATAAAATATAAATATAAAACATATATTTTCTTAAATACCATAAATTTAACTTTTAATATTTTTCGATTTATTTAAAGCCTTATTGTATTGTAAGTATAGTTTCTATTAGTGTTCGTGCTCATACATTATAATTTCAAGTATTTTTTTATGATTCAAAATATAAGTTTAGTATATATAAATATTTCCTAACTTTATAAAATATACAAAATAATTTTATTACTTCTAATTATGATATTCAATCGTATTTCATATTTTCAACATAATAATAAGATTCAAATAACTTATATACTTTATTTTAGTCTAGAAAAATTTTTAATATTTATTTTGTAATACATAATTTCTATATTTTTTGGAGATATATTAAAATAATAAACTAAAATAATTGTTTCATGGTACAATAATAAATTAAATATTTGTAACCTTATAAACTAATTTAAATTTTTATTTGATATTTTTCAATTTCATTTGATATATAAATTAAAAATTTGTTTATAAATGCATGATACTATTTTTATATTACTATGAAATATGGATCTTCAATAAAAATTCGATAACATATGGTTAATTTGTTAGAGCATATATGAAAATAAAATATAAATAAAAAATAAATTTTTAAAAATAAGAAGAATACATATTTAAGAAAATGTAATATATGGTAAGATAAAGAAAAGAAATGTAATATAAGATAATATATATTTAAAAAAAAAAAAAGGAATGGTAAAATAATTTGATGATAATTTTTATTAAATATTCGGTAAGGAAAAAATCAGTTAACAGAGCTTGTTGTTAATTAGGATTGATAATTTGTTAGCAATTTAAAGAAAGCGTTGAAATTAATTAGTGGTAGATTTAGATTGAGTGATAACTGAACAAAAAACTGATTTCTTAAGTTTTTATTTGTTTTTTATTTTATTTGTTATTTTTATTTTTATTTTTATAAAAACAATCCCCCAATTTTATTGTTTTCTTAAGGTTAGTTCAATAAGTACGAAATTGTCACAATTTTGTTCATACTCCTCGTGGGATTGACCTTTACTTGTCACTGCTACTACTTATTGGAGTTTTGTTGAGAAAAACAGTATAAATTTAAATTTGTCGCGTTTCAACGCGGTCAATATAAAATGCTTATCACCTTTTTCGTATCGGGTACCTTCATGAAATGTCTTGTGATACGTCGGATGTCAACCGTCGACCCGCAACCCCGGGTCCGACGGCCGTCCATTGACCTTGAGCTTGAGTAGGATCGTTATTGTCACCCGACTCCAGGTCATCATCGAAATCTAAGACACCGGGGATATCTTGATAGATCTAAAGATGTGTTGGACCTCCACAAGGTCCATGTCATTAGATAGATCTGGACCATGTCATCGGGTAGACCCAGAACGTCGTGGTATACCGTCGGCATCGAAAATGGAGGTTAACTACTAGTAAATACTACATTTATATACTTTGGTGGCCATCCTCCACGAGAATTAGACATTTTGTATCTTAAATAGAATTTACAAAACAAAAACAAGGCATAATAAACTATCAGATAAGAAGACTTTTCTTAATTCACATACAAGTCTCACTGGAGCAGAATTCTTGTTCAAATTAGCAGCCTTGTTCAGCAACACCCATCAACGCTAGAGTGGCCGCCGCTGTCCGTCGAAAGTTGTCGTCGTGTGCCGTCATGAAGTCGCTGGAAACATTTTCTCCACCGGGCGATCGCGATGGATCCTTTTCGTTCATGCGTCACTGCAATGGGTCGCCATAAAAATATCGTGCACGCGGCCAGCGCTGTGCGTAAATCGCGCGGCCAGTCCCTACGCAAATGTCGGGCATCTTCGTGCATTGTATGCACGCGCAACTGAAGTCGCGCCATGCCTCGGTGCAAACCAAGCGTCTCGCGCATCCGTCCAGCACGCCAGACGTCCCACATTTATCGCGTCCCCTCGGCTGCAACGGGTCACACGCCTGTGCGCCCTCGGCAGCATGTTGTCGGGTTTACAAGTCTCCCAGTTGATCCGCACACGATCATGATCAAAATAAATAAATTCAAGATTTACAAATTTTGATCCTAGACTAATGAAGGTGTTTGCATGTTCGTCTAAGGAAGCTATTAAATCTATACGGTTTCCCACCGAGTGACTAATTATTGCAAACATTCAACCCAAATTTCTCAACATGTCCGAAGCTTTAAAAACGAGCAAAACAAATCAAGCACATACGACCATAACAGTGAATTAAACTACACATGTAAAATCGAGTTATGCAAGTACAATCTAATTTATGATTGCGCTTGATCACACGCTGTCACATAAGACATAAAAATCAAACTTTGCACAAAACGAATTAACCGCGGACTCTGATACCACCTGTTGAGATCGGTGAAGATCGTCGTAATTGTGCTAGTCACGAATTAATTCTACAAATTAAACTTATGTGCAGCGGATCTAAGGTTTAGCGTAGAATACTTACGGCTAAAAAGCAGACTCTGAACCATTGTAGATTACCTATGATGGAGATCGATTGATTCCACCTCCCCGAAAAACTAGCCTCGTCAAAAGCTCAGAGTTCTTGGGATCTGGTGCTGGTCGAATGGGATTGGCTCTAGACACGGGGGTGCGTGTGGTGATCGTGGGCTGCAGCGTGCGGGTGCTCGGGTCACTCACGTGCGGTTGTGCGTAGGGACTGCAGCGTGCGGTCTCGGCCTGAAGCGGACTGGTTGTGGTGGTCGAGTACTCGGACGACATCCGAGCTTTCTGTTGTATTACCCGACACCTCTCTGGTTGTCTTCGTGGGCAACAAGTTCAGAGAGAACTCGATTGGGAACTAGGGTTGACTCACGATCATGTATCTCTTTTTCATGTTTCCCAATCCCAAGAGTTATGGTGTATGTATATGTTATAACAGGGACCCTAAGGAGACATTAAATTGGGCTCATCATATATGGGCCTAACTATGGGTCAAGCTCACTCCGCTCATATATGAATAATACAGCCATTCCACTAAAGTAGTATTATTGAAACTCCCAACTTAATCCTCAGATTATGATATGAGCTCCAATTTTATAATTACTCGAATTACCTCTCCATGTTTAAGATATAATATCCATAAATTGATTTGATTACTGGCAATCAAATCAACTGATATCTTGTGCCGAAGCTAGCACCACTCAAACATTATTATTATGTTGAAACATAATCCACCTGCAGAATTTAACATAATAATCCTTCTGAGCTCACTTCGGAGACATTATCGAATTGAGGCACATGGTGACCGTAAATATTTTGACAGTACACCATGCATGCAACATCATTACCCAACTCATTCTGATATTTATCTAGACTGAATGAACATCACCATGATGAATCAAAGTAGTAACTACTATACACATGTGTTTGTTTAAATCTTACAGGTTAAGAGAACACAATAATTAGCCGAGGTCTAGTTCATTTATGACAATCAGTATAAAATGATTTGCTCCTCTTTGGGATCCGTTCAATACATAAATGTGCTAATGCAACTAATCAGTCAAGATCAAACGTGCCATTGCCATTACAACCATTTTGATGGCTTGTTCAATTTCCATTTAGGTTGTGAATCAAATTTTTTTATATTGTGCAAGCTATTGATAAATGATCATTTGTCCATCCGCGATGAATCATTATCCTAGTGCAAAACAACAAAACACAAAACCTTTTTAAGCAAACATGATTTCTCATTCAACATAAATAGTGTAAATAATATCTAAAGTCAACCTTTCAATATATATACTAACAACTCAAAACTTTTTCTCGTTCTCTATATTAGTTTGGGAAATTTTTATCTCTCTTACAAGATAAGGAGAATATTGCAACAATACCACATCCATTAAATTAATTGTATATTTACATAAAAGATAAAATTAACTATATTAATGCCTAATTTAGTTACCATATCAATCCAACTTTCTCTCCTTTTTTGTACGTGATTTAATGTCTATTTAGTTACCATATCAATCAAACTTCCTCTCCTTCTTTTTTGTTAATCACGTTTGTATTCTAAAAAAAAAAAAANCTCGATTTTTATTTATTTATTTTTTTACTGTTCATTGAATATTTTGTTGCGTTTATAATCAATATATTTTCAGTATATGTTGCGGTTATAATCATTATATTTTCAGTATATTTATCCATAAAATATAAAGGCATACTAAGGCTATATACGTCACGTATATTTTATTTTACATAACATTTTTTCGGTATATGTTGCGTTTTTATTTGCATAAATTTTACCGAGTCAAAATGTCTGATTTAGCATTCAGCTCTTAAACAACAAAAATCAGATAGTATATTTTCAGTATATGTTGCGTTTTTATTTACATAACTTGTACCAACTGTTGAACAACACACGACAGATCTACAAAATAAAAATGAAACAAAAAACATTAATATAAATATCGAAAAAATGACATAAAGTGAATATATATCAAATAAATTGTAAATAAACATCAAATAAATTGTAAATATACATCAAATAAACATTGAAAACAGATCCAATCGAAACTATCCGCATGTCGACTACTCGAAAACTCCACCACCAACAGCGGCCGACCAAGATTCTGACCAGTATAATTTATGCTCATCATCGGCCAGGATGCCGTGGTAGCCGCGGGATAGCTCGGGAGGATGCGAGTCATATACTGTACATATACTCTACATATACTCCATATACTGTACATATACTCCAATTCAAAGTCTGCGAATTTCAACGTCCTGACTGATCTATACACCGTCCAAAACCCTAAAAAAATCGAAGCAAAATTCAACTTTCTTGTACCTCGGTCTCTTCAACTCCACCACCGTCGGCAACGCCTCCAACCACGTGTTCGCCGTCGAGTTAGACACCGTCCAGGACTTCGAGTTCAACAACGTCAACGACAACCACGTCGGCATCCATTCGAATGCCTATATACACTGAAATAAACTAGATAGGTAAGACTCAGAATTAAGTCTTTGATTCATGTATATGCAGTTTGTTTTCACACATAATATATGTAGAAAAAACAAATGAAGTATGAATGAAACAAAATTGCGAACATATAGACGTGCACTCTCAAAGGGAAAAAATAAACTTGGAAGGTATCTGTCTTCCCCTTTGTAATCTGATTCTTTGCAATATAAACGTTCAACATATCCCAGAAAATTATTCATCAGGATTCTTCCCATCATCAATCAAACTAAATCCCAAATCAAATATCCACAAATTATAAACAACCAGCACGTTTTCACAAAATGATAAAATAAATAGTGTTTTATAGAGATAACTTTCACCATCAATAAAACACTCATTTAAGAACCTCCATTAGGACCTGTATGCTACACGTCTCCCTCTTTAGAGGACGTCGGCGCCGGCGGTAATTGAGGAAATCTCCCTCGTCGACTCTATGGAGAACGATTCTCAGATCGCCTACCTAGAGATGACGACCGCGGGTAGCAGCCGATCAAGGACCAGAACGATGCGAAGGTGGTGGGGGTGGCGGAATTCGCGGTAACGGAGCAAAACAATCGGTTTTTCTGTAGAGAGAGAGAGGTGGGGTACGTTTTTTTTGCAGAGAGAAAGTGGGCTGCGGTTTTGGAAAGGATATATGTTATTCATAATTAATGATATAATCGCACTTAATTTGTCCCATAATTTCTTAACTGAACTTGGTGGTATATTTGTAATATTTTAAGTCTTAAATAGTGGTTTTATAAATAAAACTAAACCAGCTGTAAAAATGTTATAAAATAAAAATTGAAGAGTAAAAGGTGCAAATTCCTCTATTAGTTTGTTGAATTCAACAAGAACATTCAGAGGGTGGAATATTCAGCCCTAAAGTAACAACGGCTACCAAGTAGTCGTGCAATCTAAGAGTAACTCTAGAAAGGTTTTCCCTTTGCGACTTTTTTCACTGTCCCAATCCCACCTTTGGATCGCAAGCCGTTCAACCCGGTGATCCTACTTGACCAGGCAACACGATCTTGTTCTTGATCATGACAGTCTAGAGATCAAACTACAAACATACCATCTTGCCATGTATATATTATATTAAATTCATGTCAACCATTATGTCTTTGTGCATGATTCTTTTAAACTATAGTTGCATTAAAATTAACTGAACACAATCGTGTGCTGCGAACATTACAATTTTCATTATAAAAAGAAGGATCTTCTCACGAAACAGATTGAGATTTTATACGCGCTCAAGAAAGTTTCTGTCGAAGAACAAAGGACTAGTAGCTTTTATTTGCATGCAGCACTTCGACAATGTTAGGAAAAAACAGGCCCTATGAAGAAAGTTCCTGTCGAAGAACAAAGGATGAGTAGCTTTTATTTGCATGCAGCACTTCAACAATGTTAGGAAAAAACAGGCCCTATGAACCGAATTACCCTTCAAAATACAAATGAAATGCATGTTTCAGTTTTCACAACAAAATCACAGTAAACAAACAGGATGCGAGCCCTTCTGATGAGAAGCACAAAACTTTTAGTGGCCATCCAAGTTGATAGGCTGGCGTAAGAATCGCTCCATCTGGGCAGCCCTAGTCTTTATGGACATGTCAAACACTTTCTGCGCAAATTCCACCACAAGCCCACCAAGAATACTCGGATCAATCTGCAGATGTATAACAATTATAGACATGTTACGGTTGTTTCATTTAGTAAAAAAAGTCAAATAACCAAACTTTTGAGGAATACAGTGAGGAATGGGTGACTTCAAATTTACAGAAAACACCTTAAGCTATTATAACATCCCCCTTAAATAATACCCAACTCTTGAGGATGCAATATGTAAAGTAGAGACAGAAGACAAGAATATTTATAACCATGTAAGATAAGTGGGGCCTTCTGTGAATAGGTTAAACTTTATATGTAGTTTTGAAATTTGTTTACGCTTAAATATCAAATGAGACAAATATATACATACTTTCTGCTCAACTATAACTTTTGTCCCTTGTCCAAGTATATGCTGCAGTGTTTCCTTCAGCTCTTTCTCCTCTTCTGGAGGTAAAGGCTGCAGACACAAGAGCTCGTGAATTGCTAAACAAATACATTCACAGAAATATAAGCAAACGCTACTAGTGAAATATCTGCTTAACGGGAGGCAGAATGTAGTCATGATCCAATCATAGGGTCATGTACTAGACAGAACAATGAAGATTGCATATGAAGTTTTCAAATCTATTGAACATGCATGTAGATGTTTTTTACCCTAAACTTCCAAACATTTAGTGTGGGCAATCATATATTATTAGAGGCTATGGCCGAACACCTCAATCCAGCCAGTCAAAGAAAGAGACCCAGCCAATTCGTGATGCTTGCAAAAAGAAGTTATCAAAATGCAGTTTCGGGTTCAAGGATAATTATATGAGGGTAAAATTGCAAAACCATGTAATACCCACTGAAGCAGGACCCCAATCATTGCTAATTTTTCATACTGATTTGTTTAAACATCAATGACCCAGAAATATGCACGTGTGACAAAAAAAAAAAGAAAAAAAAAAAAGAAAAAAGAAGTTGTATATCCTTCAACAGAACAGGATATGTAATCACCATGAAGCACATTTAAATCGAAATAACAATATGCATCCCAGTTGACTGTAGTACTATTTCAGAGTTCAGACAGACAAATGGAAGTATTGGATCATAAGCCGACATGCCCAAACAAATTTCAGCTCCTAATAACACTTTTTGGCCAATTTAATTTTTCATTATTTTAGCTTTTTGGTCTAAAATAAATTATTGACACACTACCTTTTAAAAGTAGAGAATGGTGATGAGAAACTGGGGAAAAAGGACGAAAGAAGAATTTATTTGAGTATAGCAAGAATATAAGATGAAAATGTAATAAAAGGAAGTTTCTGCGATATATAAATAGTAATGACAAATGAATGAATGATATTTGTGATGGTGGATACTGAATCTCATAGAGAAGTATGTAGTAATGATTGGTTTTTGTTTTCAAATTTGAGTAGATGCCAAAACGGGACGAGTAAAATAGTATATTCTTCCATAATCTTAATTATCAAACATTTCTAGGAATAGATTTCTTTAGTTTAATGCCAACAATTTTTTTTTTTATACAGTCGTGCCCTTTAGCATGTCCAAGAGAAAGCAGAGAAGGGGTAACAAGATGAGTTGTGAAGAAAAGGGGCTACAAGATATGGAAAGTGAAGAAAAGGGGCGTATGAGTGATTTTAATGCTCCTGACCAAATATTGTGGTAACAAGTAACGAGTTGCTTCAGCATAAATGGATATTGTAAATAATCTCTATGTATAGTCATTCCACCAATATTCAGTGACACACCTGCAGGAGGAACCATAAAGTTTATCCTATATGTGGAGGCAGAAGATATTGTACCCATAGGCTTCCAACATAAGGCCACTAGAACTACTAATAAAGTAATTTGTAGATTACCATCTATTATAGAGTTACAAATTAAAAAATTGTTTAGTGTATGGCATTTACATTAATTTTACTCCTACAGACACAATGCAGAATGTAGTAACTCAAGTATTAATCCCCCATAGGAGCCAAAAAATTCTCATTTGGGGATTCAACATGTAAAACCCAAGACAGTTAAAGGAACATCAATAGGAAAAGACTCATTGTTTGATTTGTCCATATTTCTTCATAGCTATCTTCTGTGCAAACCATATCTCAAGTGCAAAGAATTAAGCTCCAAGAATAGAACTTACAATCACAGTGGTCACTATAGCTTTAACTTCTCCTCTATGTGCCATAGTCAGTTCAGAAAATCTCTGTGCTATACGATCTAAGTGCCCCAGCCTCCCAGATTCGGCTACAACAACTGTTGGTAAGATGACAAACAAGTTGATGGATACTTCACGCAAGATAGACTATTATAATATTATTTACATCAAGAAAATAACATGCCGATGAAGAGCCAGACAGGACTACATCAATACTCATTATCGATTGAGGTCACAGTTTATATGCATCCCATGAAATTCCTAATCAATAATAGCTATCAAGCAGCAGGCTCAAAAATTCACTAATGTATGAACGATAATTCCGTGACTTGATCATGAGCATGCTCTTCATCATACTGCATTACTTCATAAGGAAGAACTCACAGGTTGGATAAAGCTGAAAGCAGTTTCCCTGTGTAACTGGTCAGGAAATGCCAGGTTTCTTTAGCCATTGCATACGTACGAGTAGTCTACAGTTATCCTACAGACGACTTTCATGAAAGGAACCCACCCATCCTCAAACCCCATAAACGAAGGGGAGAAAAAAAAGACAGGGAAGAAAACAATGAACCACTATCATGCGTTACTTTGAGCAAGAGTGCTCATTGCCTACTCTCAATAAACTTCCTATATCCCACCAGCATAGTAGAATAAACAGACTCCACCTATGATCACAAAATTCTCTAGCAGCCAAAATGTGTTTGGTTATTTATATATGATTTTGGAAATCCATAATATACAGACCAACCGATATGTCTAGATCAGGTGCACGGCAACATGCAAGGATTTAACAAAATCACAAGTCAGGGCAGGACAAACATCACAAGTCATTATCCAAAGCAAAGAGAAACTTTCACATGTTAGAAAAAACTAACCCAAGAAGTTCTTCGTGATTTCAGAAAATTTAGTTTCAGCACAAATGTCCTTTATAGCTTTCACCCTTGTATCTGCAGTAACTGATAAATCCTTCATGAATTGAGAAAAGGTTGGGCTTTTCTTGGACGCCTGGATTAACATATGCAGCTCGGACTCAACCTTATCAAGCACATTGGCTTTAACTGCTGCAATGTACAAAGCTGTGGCATAGTTCCCAGAAACGCCATACAGTTTCAAAGGAACCTAGGATGCAATAAACTAAATCAGAACACCAAGACACCAGAGTACCTTTTCCTTAAAAAGACAAAATATTCCAAATTTAAAATGGATTTCACAGACCACATCACACATTACCAAATGCAATAATCACATGACTACATCACAGTGTTCAAACAGTCACCGTATATAATGCCTATTGCAAGGTGAAGTAGCTAATAAGTGGAGTTGAGTCTCCAGATTAGAATATTAAATCTAAATTCCACAAGTTTGGGGCTAAGCATCTATTATCATTAGGAAGAATTAAAAGGTGAAGAAGACAAATAAAGTTTAAAATTAGCAATTACAAACAAATAAGTTAAGTCAACATGTACAGAAATGATAAGAAAAAAAATACACAAGTATGATTACAGATAACAAGACAACAATGATAATAACTTAATTTAATTAAAAGAGTGTTCAATCAAATATCATCCACATTTAATGCATCAAATTCTCTGTGCATGCATATCCTACCAACTACAATGCCATATGTAGAGAGAAAAGATTTGCTAAAAAAGACGACAACGATGATGGCAAGAGGACAATTTTGAACAGTTTCCGAGATAGTGTGACCAAAAATGATAATGACTATATCACTATCCACCCAGGTAATGCAGATACAGTAGTGGACTCTCCTGGTTGAGACACTGATCTCCCAAGATCCATAACTACTAGCAAGCAGCAAGTATGTCTCTTCAGCATGTAACAATGAACATGTAACTTGTAATTTAACACCTCCAAACAAAATATAAACAAATCAATCTTACCTTGACTTTCGGCTGATTTGCAGGAGGACTACTCGCGTAACTCCTTGCGAACTGAAAGCACAAAATCAGCAAGTAAAAATCCAATTCACAGGCACCTGATACAAACAGGCTACAATGCAAGAGCCTCTTTATAAATCCAACTACTTTGCTTGAATAGATTTTACAGTTACAACTAATCAGAGGAACCGAACTTCAAAAGGGCAAAAAATTTTCAGCTTCGTGCCAGTTTCTTGTGAAAGAGAAACCTAAAGAATAACCTCTAGAGATCCGGTATAAACAGTAACACATGCTAACATACCCACAAAAATAGGGGGATAAAGCCATTAAGAAGCCAATTCAAATGTAAAAAAACATCTTCAGGAAGACGCGAAGGATGGTTACTAGTGATTTCAAGCTCTTTCTTACGGGGTACCACCTAAGGTCAAACCCCACTGGTTCTCTCACAGAACAAAACCAGACAAAAATAAATAAATCACTTTCAGAGTAAATAAGACGAAACATTATATTTACGATTCTTATGTACCTCCGGCTTGGAGACAATCGGGCAGACGGCGGCCATTGAAGCTACGGATCTCTCGGCAGCGAAGAGGTTACCGGCGTTGAGGGCCCGGCGGAGGAGAGGAAGGCCAGATCTTAAACGAGCTGCCATTGCCATTTTCAGATTTGCTAATTTTATTTTCCCTTTTTCCGCTTTTTATTTCTTCTTCGAGTTTGGTTCACTGTTCAGGCGTTCACCTTCTCGCTTCGGAGCTCGGATACAGTGTGCCTGGTGTACATACTTATACAGCACCCTGCATCATTTTGCACCATAGGATACCAAGCAGGTTGATCCAACGGATTACCCATAATGTGTTCAATCCAAGAATATGGCCTATATATTTACATCAAATTATTTTACGAATATTATATAAATATTATTATTACTAGTAGTCTATCACGTGCATATGCATAAATTTAGAAAAAAAATAAAATAAGTTATTAGTCATATGTATGTACTGTTGTTATGAATTGGGTTGAGTCGCCTACGCCTCGATCTTCCTTCGTCTTTGAACTCCGGTGACTTGCAATATACCGAGAGGGAGTTCCGACGGAAAACCTTCGACGCTCAAGTCAGAACTCGTTCAAACAACTGTGTACGGGAATATATAATCAAAGGCGTAGAATGCGATGATTATGATGAAGAACTTGGCACCCATATATAGGATAGTTATCTTGTTGCCCTAAAAAGTCCTTTAATAGGAAAGAGATCTAACTAGATCACCCCTCTTATAACTTATCACGTCTTTTTCTGGGCAAGTGTCCTTAGGCAAGTGATTTTTTCTTTCTTACTAGGATTCTTTCTCCCTTACTGTACAGCCCTTAAGTCCCTAGGCCATAACCTCGACCTCTTGACCTACTTGTTGTGGCTTACCCGAGATCAAACCTGACCTTAGGTCGTACGACATCGATATCTCGGGGTCGGTTGTATAGCCAAGATCTTGGAGGTCAGCACCCCCAGATCGTCTTCCTCAAGTCGGTCAATAACTTAAACTTGCATACGAGCTACTTAACTGGATAGCTTATTTCTGAACACAATAGAGCTCTCTTAGACCGGCCGAGCCGAGCTGTCTGCTCAGACCGGTCTACCGAGCTTATTTTGAGTGCTACATCATGTATAATATATTTAAATCATAAGTTATATAACTGGATATCACGTCAAAAAATTTAGTAATTAGTAAACATGAACAATGTAAAAATTATTTTACTTATATATGAATAACTATATAAATGGCATAAAATATGATGAACAATGTAACCTTCATAAATTTAAAAGGTAGACTAGGGGTGTAAACGAGCCGAACGAACTCGAGCTCATGCTGCTCAAGCTAGAGTCCTTAACGAGTCGAGCTCGACTCGGCATTGTAGCTTAACGAGCTCATAATCAATCTCGAGCTCGGCTCAATTATCAATATTAACGAGGCAAACTTGAGCTTTAACGAGCCGAACTATACAAAATTATATAAAAATCATCTTTTTGAGCTGCGCAGCTCGACTCATTAACCAAACGAGCTTTAAACAAGCTCAAGCTCGACTCGTTTATCATACGAGCCGAGCGAGTTCCATCCTTAACGAGTCGAACTCACGAGCGGCTCGTTTAATATAATAGCTCTTGACTTGTGACCAATTAAATAGTTGATAAATTATACATGATTTTTTATAGTGTATGATCTCAGAAGACCAATTTACATGAGGATAGTGTATGTGTATGTGGTATGTATATTGATTGATTGATTCTTACTTGCCTATTGAAGGACCCTGAGGTCGGTATTTATACAGGAAAAAACTGATGGCGAATTAAATGTGGAGTGCTAGCCAGGGGCATAGGTTAACGTCACATGTTTTTATGCAATATTGATTGTACAACTTGAGAGTGTTATCAACTTTGCCAGTTTATGTTCAGACGATAAAGGTGATCGTCATCCTTCCCTGGGAAGCTTTCGCAGGGTGTTAGGTAGCCCTTGTTGGGTTCGCCTGTACCATACGGGTTATAAGCAGCGGAAAATTATGTTTCAAAAACAAGTATTTATCGTATAAATACTCAACCCATACGTACATATAGCGATTGCATAGATCGTCATCATTTAAAAACATATAATAATACAAATTTTGATTTGTTGTAAGTAAATCCAAAATTTACCTTTATTCTTGAACTCCTTCAAAAACGATGATGTATGAGTAAATTCCCGGTTTGGTAACGTCCACTCCTTGATGTTACTCGCTTTAGGAATCCAAATGTCTTCCCTCTAAGAGTATCCACCTTTTGAAATCCGGTTCCGACAATAGTTTCTTCGCTAGTAGAAACTACTCGGTTTTTCAATAAGTATGGAATATAAATATATATGAGGAAATTTTACAAGAACTCTTTCTTGTTTTATCATTCAACACTTGAATGTTATTCTTAGCTCAACTCTTAAGCTCAATATCTCTTGGAAGAACTTAGCAAATTTGAACATCAAATATGTCCATATTTATACTAAACATTTTAGTATAAAATAATAATATTGGGTAGAATATTTTCATAAAATATAAAAAGTCTTCAAGAATATTTTCATAAAATATTAAGTCTTGAATAAGACTATTCCCCACTCAATATTCTATTAATAAAAATAAGATTAATTATGTGAAGTAATTAACAACTCTAAACCACCATAATTAATTTATTCTTATTAATATTTAATCTTTAATCATATTAAAGATAAAATAATAAAATAATAATTCTTGAAAGCATCTTTCAAGACTTTATTATTTTAATCTTTTCTTCCATTTCCTCATTTAATAATCTTATTATTATTTGGATTTGAAATTTAAAATCCAATTTTAAATTCCAACTATTAATTAGTAATTCCATTAATTACTAAATTAATATCCAAAATTCAATTAATCAATCCAATTGATTATTTTAATATATTCCTTTAATTGACATCTAATCAAGTTAGATTTGTCAATTAATTTTAACTCTTTAGAATTACTATTTGAATTTTACCTTCATTCAAGTTTAGGTGTGACCTTTTAGGTTCACAATTAATACTAGTAGTGGGCTTACAACTCTTTGTAATTTGAATTAATTTAATTAATTCTTATTCATGAAATTAACTCCTTAATTTCAAGAACCCACATATCATGGGAACATCTAGCAAGTAGCATGAATCTAGTATTAAGTGAATAGCGAGTAAACCTATTTCGATTACAAGTCCATACATGTAAAATCCTTTCGACATCCAATTTCCCGATTAAATCTTGGGTATGATTTTGTCGAAACCCAAATTAATTTAATAACTATGATTTCATTTCAAGTTTAATAATTCGTTTATGAATCTCTATTCATCCTGCCTTGGCCAAGGACTTTGAATTACTAACTATGAAACACATAGGAAATTCACTTATCTTCATAAGTGTCGAATCCTTTGTTGGCCACTGACAAACTTTCATACATATTAATATAATACCCAAAATATCTGTAACGCCCCGTTTTATTTTAAAGAATTTACCGAATTTCTTTATAAAAATCAGAGTTTATTTTTCGCAAAATCCCAATTAAAACTTTAACACTCAACGGGCGCTACTTAAATAACTAAAACAAATACACATTTACACAGATAAAATTTAACAGTTCAAAATGAAATTCCAATTATTCATAATCCTCAAACCCAGTCATGCATAATTAAATACTTCAACGGAAAATCCAAGGTCTAACCAACATGTCCAAGGTAATTAAAGCGGAAGCATCATTATTCAAAGTTAAACAAATGATATATCGAGATAATAAAAGCGGAAGCAAGTAACACACAATCCAACGACCACCACTCGATCGTCTCTCACTGCCGCCGCCAACCATGCTCAACCTAAAAGGATAGGAAGAGGAATAAGAGAATAGAAAAGTAAATGGGGGTGAGTACAACCATCATACTCACCATTACCGCACAGTGTATTTCGCATAAAGATCCATAACCATAAATAATGTATGCATAGAATCCAGATCTAACTCCCTATTAGGCCCTATCGCAAACCTCCTATGTACATACAACAAACCTCCCGACCAGACATCGGCGAGGATGTAACTGGAAGCACTCCCACCCCAGATGCAACGAGCGTAGGATCTTACCAGGAGACAGTGAAGTTAAATTACCCCTCCGCTCTACACGAATTCGGGCGTTCAGACAATCCCCTCCGCTCTACACGGATTCGGGCGCCCACCTCCCGGATACAACGGGCAGGTGACTTCCACTGATTATGCATTCGTCAAAGGCACTACCATCAAGATACTTAGACTAGGGTTCTCACGCATACAAAAACTATCGCGACAAACATTTATATGAAATAACAAGTGCGATAAATGTAGATTCAACATAAATGAACCCACCTGGTAGCGATCGAGTCAAACACGCAAGAATAGTAGTCGGCGAGGTCGACTCGTCAAACACCCACATTTATTAAAATAGCCTTATTAAAGACTATTCGACAATTTACTTAGTTCAACTAAGTCCACGTAAGCATTCAAGCATGCATTAGATGAATCCATATAAGTTTTGAAAAAGTTAACCCGGGTAGCGTTTTCAAAAATCGACATAACTTTCAGCACACAACTCGTATGAACATCAATCAAATTGTATTGGAATCCTAATAGATAAATCTACAATTCTTATGAAGACACTGTAGGCAAATGAGGTCATTTAACCGGTGATAATCCAACAAACATCAAAATTTGAGTCACAGTCCAAAACTGGAAAAATACACTTGACCAGACTTCAGTAATTTCTATTTAACTGGAGCTACAGTCATGCTTTTAATGAATTTCAAAAAACCACATGATAGATAATTCAAATGTATACAACTTTGCTGAAGATCATATTGGCAAATAATCACATTAACCACGAGTTTAAACACAAGACATGTGATTCAGTAAATCTGTCAAAACAAGTATAATGAACCTGGACAACACCTCAGTTTTTAACATTTATCTTGAGCTACAGACCTCCAAATAATATGGTTCAAGTCTCAAATTAAATATTAGGAATTTATCTACAACTTTCATTTAGAACACCAAAACATATGAGCTCATTTGAATGGTCAAAAAGCTGTTAATATTCAGATCCATATTTCTGCCAACAGGATAATTCCTAACTCATGCATATCTATCTTCATAAAATCATAACTCGAGCTACAGAGCACGTATCGACAAGAAATCTATCTCATTTGAAAGGCAAGAAATATATCTATAACTTCCATGAAGAGTGTAATTTCATACGAGCACATTACGATATGATAAACAGGTCACACATTAATTACAGATATGCTGCC